CCAAGTTGCCCAGGAGGGTCTCGAACCCGCGGGCTCAGGCAATCCACTCACCTCGGCCTCTCAAAGCACGGGATTACAGGTTGAGCCACCAAGCCCAGCTGAGACCTCATCTTACAATCAAAAATCAAAAATTAGCCAGGCACGGTAGCATGCCTGTAGTTCCAGTTACTTGGAAGGCTGAGGCGGAAGGATTGCTGGAATCCAGCAGATCGACGCTGGAGTGGCCATGGGTGTGCCACTGCACTCCAGCCTGGGCGATAGAGTGAGACTCCAACTCAAAAAAAAAAAAACTATATGTAAACACTAAATTCTTAAAGAATTAAAAAGGGATACATTGCATATTTTTATATTAATGTTAGATATAGTATATATTATATATGCAAATGTTATATTTTTAAAAACCTCAAAATTTTTGAGTTAAAAAAGGAAGAAGTCTGACTTGGAGGAGCTTAGTCAAGTTTTCAACAAGCTAGTTAGTTTCAGAGCCTAGCCTCAGTCCTTCTTATCTATCAGTAGGCTATGTTGCTACTCATGCAATTTCCTTCTTCAATGAGGAAAAAAAAAAGATGCACAAAAAGTCAAGTTTGTCATAGATGCTGTTCTGTCAGATGATAAGGGGACAGTGAGTCTTGGACACAGGTCTGTGGACAGGAGGTATTCAATTTCTCACCTGAAGTAAAATGATAAAAATAAGAATAATATATGAACCTCTTATAAAACTAAAGTAAACAAATATTAACTTTTATTGTTATTATTTCTATGTAGATTATGAGCTTCCTCATTTTTTGGTGTTCAAACATTCGCTTTTATAAAATGATAGTGCCAGTCATGGTGGCTCACATTTTTAATCTCAGCACTTTGGGAGGCTCAGGTGAGAGGACTGCCTAAGTCCAGGAGTTCGAGACCAGCCTAGGCAACTTGGTGAGATCGCGACTCTACATCAGAAAAATTAGCCAGGCATGGTAGCACATGTCTGTAGTTCCAGCTACTTGGAAGGCTGAGGCGGAAGGATCACCTGAGTCCAGGAGGTCGAGGCCGCAGTGGCCATGAGTGTGCCACTGCACTCCAGCCTGGGTGAGAGAAGAGACTTTGACCAAAAAAGAGGAGCCAGGTTCGCTGGCTCAGCCTGTAATCCAGCTTTGGGAGGCTGAGGTGAGTGAACTGCCTGAGCCCACGGGTTCGAGACCCGCCTGGGCAACTTGGCAAGACCTCATCTCTACAATAAATCAAAAAATTAGCCGGGCGTGGTAGCGCGTGCCTGTAGTTCCAGCTACTTGGAAGGCTGAGGCGGAAGGATTGCCGGAGCCCAGCAGGTCAAGGCTGCAGTGACAGAGTGAGATTCCAACTCAAAAATAAAAACAGGCTGGGCTCAGTGGCTCAGCCTGTAATCCCAGCACTTTGGGAGGCCAAAGTGAATAGACTGCCTGAGCTAGCAGGTTTGAGACCCACCTGGGCAAGTTAGCGAGACCTCGTCTGTACAATAAATCAAAAATTAGTTGGGCATGGTAGCACACACCTGTAGTTCCAGCTACTTGGAAGGCTGAGATGGAATGATCGCTGGAGCCCAGCAGGTGGAGCGTGCCACTGCACTCCACTCTGGGCAACAGAGTGAGACTACAACTCAAAAAAAAAAAAAAAAGCAATTCTATTCCTAGGAATATACTCAAGAGATCTGAAAACCTGTGTCCATGCTAAAAATTCACATATGAATGTTCATAGCAACACTATTTGTAGTAACCAAAAGGTAGAAGAAACACAAATGTCCATCAACTGACCAAAAGATACACAAAATGTGTTATATGCACACAGTGGACTATTATTCAGTCATAAAAAGGAACAAAGTACTGATGCATGCTACAACATGGATAAATCTTGAAAACATTGTGCAGAGTTAAAGAAGCTAGATACAAAAGGTTACGTGTTATATGACTCCATTAATATGAAATATCACGAATAGGCAAATCTATACACACAGAAAGCACATTAGTGGTCGCCAGGGTCAGTGGGATGGGAGAATGAAGTGACTGCTAATGGGTATGGAGTTTATTTCTGGGGTGGTGAAAATGTTCTGGAATGGTAATGGTTGCACAACTGTGAATATATTAAAAATGACTGAATTGTACGCTTGAAGCAGGTGGATTTTATGGTACCTAAATTATGCCTCAATAAAATTTATATTTTACAAAATGTTTCTTGACAACTATTTTTCCCTGTACACCACTAGTCTTCCACATAATTTTTAAAAACAAACAATAGAAAACACAACAAAATCTTGCCAGGATATCTTTAGGGTTGCAATATTCCTGTGTCTCCAACATCATGCCTAGTGCTATTGTTTCATGTTAACAAACAAAGCTAGGATGGACTAGGAAATAAGTATATCTATTTCCAAAAAACTAGACAGTCCCTAGTTTAAATTGGAGAGGGAGGTGGGGGGGTGTCACTGCCCCATACCTTCTTCTCATTTTGAACTAAACCGAGCTCTGCATTTTAATTCCTCTCTCTACAAAAACATTTGGAAAAAAACAGACACCACATCCTAACACCAGAAAATTCTGAGTTAAAAGCCATTTACGTTGGGAAGGTAAACTGGGGGTGGAAGGGTTTGGAGTGAGGGTGACAGATGGAGACCAAAGGCCAGCACGGTGTTGACACTTTTCTCCCCCAAGATTTCACTGGGAAAAGCTGGAGTTTTTTACAACACGAAGATCTCGTCCCAGGCAAACAGCGACTGATGCCGCCAAGCTAGATCTGAGGCACTTTTAATTCAGAAGAGACCCGGGAGGGAAGTCCCAGGCTTGCCGGCCAAGGAAAGCGGCTGGGGGGCGTGAGCTGCAGCCCAGTTCAGAGGCCAGGCCCCGGCCGCGGGTCCCAGGGGGCGTAGCCAGGCCCCAGGGGCTGGGAGCGTCGGCGCCGCAAACGCTCCAGGAGGGGAAGCCCGAGCAGAGAGGACGCTGGAGGGGGGCGAGGGGAAGGGGACTACTGCCGCGGACTGAGGAGAGCAAAGGCCGGGGCCCATGAGGCGGCAGGTGTGGGCCGGGTCTGGTACAGGTGTAGACCGGGTCTTCGGCGGGTGTAGACACGGCCTTGGACAGGTGTAAACAGGGAGCCAGGCAGGGGTAGCAGGGCCTCGAACGGGTGCAAACTGAACCCCAGGCTGGGCAAGCGGACCCGGACAGGTATGGGCCGATTCGGTCAGGAACAGGTGTGTCCTCAGCGGGACACACGCGGACCCACACGCCCGTGGCACACAGACAGCCCTCCCCGCAGCTGGCCGGGATTCCCTGGCCGAGGGCCCCCCACTTTGCACTTACACAGCCGGTGGCCCTGGGCCCGGAGCAGGAGCCAACGGCCGGGCGGGCAGCGGGGCCGAGCAGCCTCTGCGGCCACTTCCCCGGCTCAGGGCTGGAGCTTCCGACTGGCGGCCGAGCCGGCACGGGTCCTGCGCGTGCGCGGAGTCCAGTTCCAGGCCCGCGATCCACTCCGGGTTTTGGGAGAGACGCGAAGCAAGCTGGAGGGAAAGGCGGGAGAAAGAAGTCAAAGGGAGGGAGGAAGCAAGAAGGAGGGAGGAGGAGACGGGGAGGCGGCGGAGAGATAAGAAGGAGGGAGCGAGGAGGAGGGAGGGACCAGGAGGAGGAAGTGCAGAGATGGAGAGAAAGGCTCCTGTTCCTGGGGGGTGCACCCGGATGGAAGGGCGGGCCCTGTCTCCGCGCCACTTTCTAGTCCCTCCAGGCGCGCCGAGCAAATCTCACTTCCTTTGTGAGGCTCTCGGGTGGAGGCCACAGCAAGGTCGCTGCTGCATGCTGCATGCGGCCCTCCTTTTGCAGGCTGGGTGACTGAGGCGTGGGCGGCCTGGGAGTACCTCCCAGGTGTGGTTTATCCGCATCCGCACGGTCACAGGGCCCAGGAGGCAGCGCCAGGTTGGAGTGGTGGGGGCTCGAGCCTGCAGCGTGATGCCCCGTGGGGTGGTGCGTGGTCTCGGTTCCTTGCTGACACTGCGGCACTCCCGACTTGGAAGGCCTCAGCAGTCAATCCACTTGAAGGGTTCTGAACACGTCGGGCGGGTGTCAGCTGTCGTTATTCCAAAGGCCCAGGCGCCCAGCTTGCCAAGTGTGGGGGGGGGGGAGGCACTTAAGGGTTTAAACCCTTCCGGGGGCCGGCGCGGTGGCTCAGGCTTGTAAATCTCAGCACTTTGGGAGGCGGGGGCTAGAGGATTGCCTGAACCCAGGGGTCCAAGAGCAGCCTGGGCAACGTGATGAGACCTCGTCTCTACAATAAATAAATATATTAGGCTCGGTGGCGCAGCCTGTAATCCCGCGCTTTGGGAGGCCAAGGTGAGGGAATTGCCTGAGCCCGCGGGTTCGAGACCCGCCTGGGCAACTTGGCGAGACCTCATCTCTACAATAAATCAAAAACTAGCCGTGCGTGGTAGCGCTCGCCTGTAGTTCCAGCTACTTGGAAGGCTGAGGCGGAAGGATGGCCGGAGCCCAGCAGGTCGAGGCTGCGGTGGCCGGGAGCGGCCACTGCACTCCGGTCTGGCGATGGAGTGAGACTCCAACTCAAAAATTAATTAGTTAATTAATTAACTGGGCGTGGTGGCAGGCACCTATAGTTCCAGCTACTTGGAAGGCTGAGGTGGAAGGATTGCCTGAGCCCAGCAGGGTGAGGCTGCGGTGGCCATGAGCATGCCACTGCAGTCCAGCATGGGCAACAGAGTGAGACTCCGACTCAAATAATTTAAGCCCCTCTGGGTTTAAAAAAAAGAAAAAGCGGGGGTAGGGGGGAACTTACATACGTCGTGTATGCCTGGCAATAAGGAATTAACCGTGACATCTTCAGGGAGGATAGAGAACAGACAGAGATTCTTTTTGTTTGTTTGTTTGTTTGTTTAGTTGGAGTCTCACTCTGTCACCTAGACTGGAGTGCAGTGGCCTCTCCCTGGAGCCTCGACCTGCTGGGCTCCGGCCATCCTTCTGCCTCAGCCTTCCAAGTAGCTGGAACTACAGGCACGCGCTACCACACCCGCTAGTTTTTTTATTTATTGTAGAGATGAGGTCTCACCAAGATGCCCAGGCGGGTCTTGAACCCGCGGGTTCAGGCAATCCACTCACCTCAGCCTCCCAAGGCGCGGGGTTACAGGCTGAGCCACCGAGCCCGGCTCTTTTTTATTTATTTATTTATTTATTTTGAGTCAGAGTCTCTTGTCACCCAGTCTGGAGAGCAGTGACACAATCATAGTTACCACATACATCACTCAGGTGATCCTTTAGCCTCAGCCTTCCAAGAAGCTGGAACTACAAGCGTGTGCCACCATGCCCAGCTAATTTATTTATTTATTGTAGGAGGAGGTCTCACCACATTGCCCAGGTTGGTCTCAAACACCTGGGCTCAGGCAATCCTCTTGCCTCCACCTCCCAAAGTGCTGAGATTACAGGCGTGAGCCACCACACCCAGTTCTGTTTGAATCTTTTAACATATGTGTGTATTTCTCTTCCAATTAAAAAATATAGCAAGAACAGGAGCAACAGGGAAATGGTCTTAGCCAGCACATTTGCTTTAAGCCAGCAAGCATTTATTGACTGGGATATATGGTCAAGACTGTTTTATGACTTATTTTATTATTCTTTTTGTTGTTATTTTCTGTAGAGACAGAGGTCTCACTATGTTATCTAGGCTAGTCTGAACTCCTGACCTAAAGCAATCCTTCTGTCTTGACTTCCCAAAGTACTGGAATTTCAGGTGTGTCACAGCACCTGGCCTTTTATTATTCATATTTTTTTTAAAGTAATATGCTATCCCTCACCCCTACTTATGGCCAGTGGAAAACCAATTGAGTGTTTATTGAATTGTTTTCTAAGGAGTCAGCAAAACGCATCTTCAGGTTAAAACAAATAGAGCTGATTTCCAATACGCCAGGCAGCCAGGAGCTTCAACAGTGGTACCCAGAGGCTGAGGATGAGTACCCTAGGTGACTGCTCCATGGTGTTAAGAGTGCATGAGGAGGCAACCCCCTTGAGTCCCCTCCCACTGTGGGAGCTTTTCTGTCCTCTTAATAAATTCTGGTTTTTAGAAAAAAAACGTGCATGGGGGGCAGTGCACTGTGGCTCATGCCTATAATCCCAGTAATTTGGAGTCCAAGAAGGGAGGATCACTTGAGACCAGGCCAGCTTGGGCAACATAGAGAAACCTCATCTGTACAAAAAATTGCCTGTGCATGGTGGCACACCCCTGTAATCCCAGCTACTTGGGAGGTTGAGGCCAGACCCCAACTTAAAAAAAAAAAAAAAAATGCATGGGGATTACATTTTAGGGCAGGTTTTAAAAATCTGTTTTAACGAAAAATAAGTATTTTTTAAAAGAGTTCATGGGATTAACACTTTAGAGTAGATAAAAGTTTTAACAAAAAGTAAGTTGTTAAAAAAAGAGTGCGGCCGGGCTCGGTGGCTCAGCCTGTAATCCCGCACCTTTGGGAGGCTGAGGTGAGTGGATTGCCTGAGCCCACGGGTTCGAGACCTGCCTAGGCAGCGAGACCTCATCTCTACAATAAAATCAAAAAATCAGCCAGGCTTGATAGCGCATGCCTGTAATTCCGGCTACTTGGAAGGCTGAGGCGACAGAGTAAGACTCCAACTCAAAAAAAAAAAAAAAAAAAAGAGTGCATAGGGTTAACAGTTACAGAACACAGAAAAAGAATAGTTAAAAAGCTACTGACCAGATTTGGTGGCTCAAGCCTATAATCCCAGCACTTTGGGAGGCCAAGGTGAGGTGATTGCCTGAGCCCACGGGTTCGAGAACAGCCTGGGCAACTTGGTGAGACCTTGTCTATATATAATAAATCAAAAAAATTTAACCGGGCTCGGTGATTCAGCCTGTAATCCCGCGCCTTGGCAGGCTGAGGTGAGTGGATTGCCTGAGCCCGCGGGTTCGAGACCCACCTAGGCAACTTGGTGAGACCTCATCTCCACAATAAATCAAAAATTAGCCAGGCATAGTAGCGCGTGCCTGTAGTTCTAGCTACTTGGAAGGCTGAGGCAGAAGGATCACCGGAGCCCAGCAGGTCAAGGCTGTGGTGGCCGGGAGCGGCCACTGCACTCCAATCTGGGTGACAGAGTGAGACTCCAACTCAAAAAAAATAAAAAATAAAAATAAAATAGCCAGGTGTGGTAGCACGCTACTGTAGTTCACTTTGGGAGGGAGTAGCAAGATTTGTCTAAGCCCAGGGTTTCGAGACCAGCCTGGGCAATTTGGTAAGACTCTACAATAAATTTAAAAAATTAGCCAGGCTTGGTGGCACACACCTGTAGTTCCAGCTACTTGGAAGGCTGAGGCAGAAGGATTGCCTGAGCCCAGCAGGTCGAGGCTATGGTAGCCATGAGCACTGCACTCCAGTCAGAGTGAGACTCTGACTTATAAATAAATAGCCACCATTAGTGAAGCTCCGTGTGTAGGAACCAGGCTTCAAGCTTAGCTCACAGCTTCCTAAGATCTGTAGCTATACTTAGCACTGAGATCCAGAAAGGATTCCACTTAGCTGGGGTCACACAAGTGACTGGTGCTATTTAGGGATTCAAATCCAAAGCTGGCAGACTCCACAACCTACACTCTGCTTGACTTTTTTCTGTTCTTATTCTCTGTAAATGAAGAAGGCAAGAAACTGGGAAAGTAAGACTGAAAGCTGGCAAAAGGAAGCATTGCTTATTTTTGTACAGTATTCTCTGTCTACAACGTACCCATTCATATCAATTTATGTTATTGTTCTAGAAAATCTATGGAGGAAGGGAAGATGGGGCTACAATTCTGCATTTTTACCGATGAGAAACCTGAGGCTTAGAAAGTGTAAAGTTTTGCCACAGCCCCACAACCATCATATGGAAGTGTCCAAATCCGTCCCAGGTCTGCCTTCATCCTAGGTTTGTGCTCCTTTAGTGCCTTTCACATTTCCTAGGCATCCCCTCTGATGGTGAGAATTCAAAGTATATACAAAGCCTACCCTCAAGGAGTTTACAGACAACTAAAGTTGGAAGAAGCCTCTAGAACACGCAGGTCCAACCTCAAACCCATATCAGCTTCTCTCTACAAAAGCCCTAACAGGCGAAGGCTTTGGATGATAGGATGTTTTAGTCAGTTTGGACTGCTATAGCAAATTACCATAGACTTAAACGACAAGTCTGAGATCAGGGCGCCAAAACAAGGTTAGGTTCTGATGAAGGCCCTCTTCTGTGTGGCAGACTGCTGACTTTTCCTTGTATCCTCCCATGGCAGATAGCAAGTGAGCTAGCTCTCTGGTCTCTTCTTAGAAGGGCACTAATCCTAACCTTGAGGGTTCTGCCCTCATTGCCTAAATATCTCCCAAAGATCCCATGTCCAAATATGATCACATTGAGGATTAAACTTCAACATGAATGTTGAGGAACACATTCTGTTCATAA